AAGCTCCCCTACCGTATGGGGCCAACGATCCATTGAAACTAGAAAACCTGTTTCGCTGGTCGCGAGTTCTGCCATTCGCCAACGATCGGCAATACTCTTTGAACTGTTTTTAATTTCAATGCCGAGACTGATCGACGCCTAGGTTTCTCTATTTAAAACGAGTTCCTTCGATGCTAGCTGCAGGCTTTACGCAATCGGATCTTTAATTTAATCGGGGCGATTTACAGTTGCTTACGAGGATATTTGGATAATTATAGAAATCTTTTGTGAATATACTTTCACGCGTGTTGCATGCACGAATCAATTTGGAATTTGTCAGCTAGCGCTGGTGATTATATTTCGTCGGGTTTGAAATAGACTTGGATTTATATATATATGTGTGTGTATGTGTGTGTGTGTAGAAATTATAATATATTATACAGATTGAATAAATTGCAATTGCAATTGAACTTGGGGTAGATTAAAATTAGTTTGAAAAAAAAAAACTTTCAAACAAGTTTGAAAAATTGATCTGAAAGTTTGTGTACGTAGAAGTTACAATATATAAATTAAATAATTTTTCAGTTCGTAATTTAACTGAAGGTAGATTGAAATTAGTCAAGTTTGAGATGAATTTAAAAATGAAAGATTCAACTTGAGGTGGATTGAAATTTTTATCGTTGTCTTGCTGCATGTAAGATTCGATTATTATTATCACACGATAAACGAAGTAAAAATGAATCAAATAGATTCTCAATAGATACGTGAAAAGCTTTTCAACATTTCTGCTGTTAATATTTCTTTCGGAACTTTATCGAAAAGAATGACGCAAATAGCACACTCAATTCTTCGCTAATTATCGGTGATTTCATTCGACGTTTGTTTTTCCTTTCAAGTTACTATACTTGCCGCGTTATCAGACTCGTAAATTAAATGTCTGAACAGTTGCCTACGTTTCGTAAACGAAAATTCTATTTCTAGGTTATTCGCTTTCGTTGATAATTTACTTTTCCCCACAAAAAGGGAGACGCAGTTTCGAGCACTTTCGTCACACGTAGAGCAGAATACGAAATTCCCTCGATGCCGGAGAAAATTGTCGAACTCCCTTTTATCTTTCTCGTCGGACGAGAATCGCTTGCTCGATCTGAATTTAAAACGAAGGAGTATCTCTCCCTTGCCGTGTATTTTGCATTACTTCTGTGCCCTTTTTCCCGCGGAATTTATCGACCTTTCGTCCTGCAATGAGATCCTCTTGTCGAGGAGTAAATTTTGATAAGCTTGATGCAGTAGTGTACGCTACCTCTTTATGAGAAATATTTTTGTCCGTGATGCTGGCGAAATGAACCTCGGGCCGGGTATTATAATTTTACAGTATTTCGAGATTTCGATCGAAGGAAATTTCATATCCAATACATATTAACTTTACATTCCAAAAAAAAAAAAAAAGAAAAGAAAAATATGCATTTATTACCAAAGCAAATATAAAGTAAATCTTTGCGATGTAATGAATAAATTTTCGAGCCAGGAGATTCCTCAAATAGAATTCCAGTTTCAGTTTAGAATTAATAACATGTATTAATGTTCAATCTGTTTTGATTCATCAATCATTTTGCAACAAATACTGCAAAAACACTGGAACAAAGGAACCAATCATATCAATGTCAGATTCTTAGAAAAAGATCACTTAGGCTCCGTCGAAATGAAATATCGAGAGAGGAAAAAATCGAACAAACAAAGCACTCATTTGCCTGTTTCTCCATTTCGCCAATTCCGTCGCGCAAACGTTCCAAGTCATTAAACGAACAAAACGATCGCGCGATGGAAATTTTATTCCATTCCAAGTGTCATAAAATCGTTCACGGACAAACGTATCGGCCTCGGTGATAATTTTTTTTTTTTAACGACGTGACGGTTCGATAAATCGAAATTGTCGCTCGAACGAATCCTCGCAACGCAGTTGTACTTCGAGGGCACGAAGCAATTTCGTATCGAGCGCTTTTTCGTCCTTTTTCGCTCCGTTTCCTCCTTCTATCTTGCTCGCGACTTCCGTGAGACTTCGCCGTGAGACGTGCAATTAGTTCAGGCTGGAACTAGGCGAGTATTCGCGTCATCGAATCGATGACGACAAATTTGCTTGGCTTGGGGATAGAAGTTTGCCAGTTTATTAGGGAATTTTGATGTCTCGGAGAAAGAACATTCATTTCGCAGGGAATTCGTTAAACGAATCGACGATCATATGAATATTTCGAAATTGTTGATATCGTTAGGTACATTTCATTAACACTGTAAATGGTGAAAATGACCAATTTATAAATTTCTGTTTCGAAATTTTTGTACATGTAAAACAGCGTAAAATGTATAAGTATTATAAAGTCATTCCATTTCGTTTACTTCGATGCCTGTGATAGAAATTTTATGTTGGCTGTTAAGTGTTAAGTGAATATTCATTGCTTGAATAGCTGTTAGATAACAGATACGTTGACTTGACAATTGTTTAACAATTCCGACATATCAAGTATAGAATATTTGAGAGATAATGTTACGAAATATTAAATATTAAAAAGTCGCCCGACTTTGCGATTAGTATCGCCAACTACGATACACGAGTACTCGTCAGATCGATGACGACAGATTTGATCGTAGGTGAAGAATAATGAAACGAATTTATAAAACAACAATTCGCTCGTACACGAATAAAACTTAATGAGTATTTGATATTTTGAAATTGTCAATGTTAGGCATATTTTTTACACTCGATATTCAGACGAATATCCATCATGTGTCAGATACATGAAAAGTATTAAATATTCGAATATTCAATATTTCGTTGGATATTATTGAAATATATTTGCAACATGAGACACTCGAGTTTCACTATTTCTATTAAATATTAAATTAAGGCGTCGAGCATTATTGAAATGCTTGGAATATACGAAGACCGAATATATGAAAATGTTATTAAATATTATATCCTCACTATTATATTATTATACCTAATTATTCCCAAATATTGAATACTCATAGAGCAATCGATGAAATCTTCATGCATCTTAAAAATCAAGAAAAGAATCCACGATTCCAGAGGCAACTGTCACGCGCTGTACACTCTTCTCTCTCTCTCTCTCTCT